CAGCTGATGCATAGGCCAAGGGCTCCATTGTTTTGCACACTATATCAAGGATTCTAGAGGAAGGGCACTAGCGTGTGAAACCCCATTGGAGGGATACAGATAAGAGTAGCACTGGATGAGAAGGAGTGGAAGGGTTGCAAGGATGGGGAACCTGAAGCTTGGAGGCCACATGTGACCTTCTGGGTCCTCAAGTGCAGCCCTTTGAATCCAAACTTCACAGAACAAATCCCTTTTTAATAAAAGGATTTGTTCTGCAAAACTTGGACTCAGTCATAAGGCCACCTCCAAGGACCTAGAAGGCCACATGTGGCCTTGAGTCTGCAAGTTCCCCACCCCTAGAGTATGTACTTTTGGAAGGAGTAAACCCTTCTCAAAGATCCCAGATCAAAGCATAGAAGCAACTGTATAATCATCTTGACTAAGCTCTTAATTTTAGTCAATCTGCCTTTTTGCATTAAATTTATTTTTAGAGCCAGCATATTATTTAAAAAAATAAATTATTTGAAAAATTAACCATTTAAAAATCCATTTTGAAATGCAACTCTTTTCCTTTTAATAGGAGGTCATAAATGGGCATAAAGAAGGCAGGTAGGTGGTGCAGTGGATAGAGTGTCAGTCCTGGAATCAATAGGACCTGAGTTCAAATCTGAACTCAGACACTTGCTAGCTGTATGACCCTGGGCAAGTCACTTAACCCTGTGTGTCTCAGTTTCCTCATCTGTAAAATGAGCTGGAGAAGGAAATGGTGAACCATTCCAGTATCTTCACCAAGAAAAACCCACATGGGGTCCCAAAGAGTCAGACAGAAATGAAATGACTGAACAACAATGACGTAAATGAAACATACTGCCCACCTCCAGATTGGAGAGGCCAAGGACTCAGTGAAGCCTGAGGTATTTTTTTTTATCAACAAGGTGGGAATTTGTTTTACTTGAATTTACATGTTTTTAATGGGTTTTGTTTTTCTGGTTTTCTCAAGTGGGGGAGTACGTGAGGGCCAGGGAGAGAATGTGAACCTGAAAATAAAATAAGATTGAATTTAAAAAAACCTCAAGAGGTCATAAAATCATTGATCAAGGGCTGGAAGGGACTTTACAGGTCATCTGCTCTAACTGCCCATTTTAGAGAATAGCAAATTGAAGTCTTGAGAAGTAAATGACTTGTCCAGGGTCAGACAAGTCTCAAGTGAAAGGACTGGGGCTTGATCTAAGGTCCTTTGATTCCAAATCTAGTAGTTTTTCCACTGCATTATGCAATTCAGACCGTCTGTATTTATTGTTATAAATGTTCATTTTTATTTCCCTCTTCCATTTTTGTTTTTGATATTGTTTCAGTGAAAATTCTATTCATTTTCTCTAACAGTTTCTACAAAAGCCATTTAACAGACTCAATAAACATCCAATTTAAAGTCTACTAATTCTTGTTTTCCTGAAGCTTATTCCCTTTTTTTATTATAGTGATAAGATTTTCACTTTTGACCTTGTCAAATGCTTTCCTTCCCCACTTTCTTGGGAAAAAATCATCATTTAAAAATGACTAAGTCATTTAAAATGATTCTATTTTACCTCCTTTCTCTTTTGCATTAATCAGAACGCACATTTTAAACTAAAACCATGATTTATTTTCTTTCTATTACATTTATGAAAACTTATTTTGTGTTGTGACCTTGACATTAGATCAGGTTATCTTATATAAAGTCCTTATCACGTAACAGTATAAAAATCTAACTTATTAAAAGAAAACAAAAATTGTGTTTCTTTCTGTCTCTTTACATATCTCTTTGAGATTCTACTTCAGGGGTGGGGAACCTGCAGCCTCGAGGCCACATGTAGCCCTCTAGGTCCTCAAGTGTGGCCTTTTGACAGTCACAGAGGGACTTGAGGACCTAGAGGGCCACCTGTGCCCTTGAGGCTGAAGATTCCCCACCCCTATATTACCTTTGGCTTGAATTTCTTCTTTATGTATAATTTTCATAAATTTTTTTTCAGTTTTCTTTCTGCTAACTTTGCTTTCTGTCACTTCTTATAGGCTTTCCCATGATTCCTTGTATTTATATTTCTTTTTTTTGGTGGATGAGTAAAATGCATCTTTCATTTTTAATAATTAATTTCTTATAATTTACAATCCTTTTTTCTATTATTCATAAGGATACTTTAAATAGTTTTATTGGTGTAATTTAAGGTCTTGATTTTTAAAAATATATTATTTTTCATCCTAGTGATATGCTTGTTTGTCAAACATATAATTTGCCATCTTTATTATTATTATTTTAAAAAGATGCAAAACCAGTGAGAAGCTTGGGTCATTGAAAGTGCTCTGTGATTTCCCAAGCATAATCTATCTTGCTATTTTCATTTAACTCAATTTTGGTTCCAGATCATTGTCAATTTGCAGTGTCTATCCAAGACACGTGTAGTGATGGACTAGTTCTATGCCCTGACCATCCAACTGCATATTATAATTTATAATTGGAAGGTCTTATTTACTTAGTTATTCCTATGTAGGCAGGCTGAAGTTTTTGGAATTTCATTTAGGAAGTTCTGCAGTGTTTCAGGATTTGATGCAATCAGCACAACGTCATCCACAAACATGAGCACCTAGAGGACCTCACCATCTACAGAGAATCTTTCTTTCATTTGGACTGTCCTGGATACCCTCCATCATACTATCAAACACCTTGGGTGGGCATACAACTTGCTTTCATCCATCACTTGCTATTAAAAAGGTCATCACTCAAAGTAATCCCTTTTTCACATGTGTCATGAAATCTTGTATGATTTTCATGTGCTCATTGGAGACACACTGTTGGAAGAAAGTCTTCGTGTCTACGTTTTGCTCTACTATACCAAAAAAAAAAAAAAAGACAACTGTGAATATAAGGAAACATGAAAGGATCTATAGGGAGTGATGAAAAGCATAGTTACTAAAATCAGAATTGTAAACACATTGACAACAGCTATCTATAAAGAAAGAAAATCAAGGCAAATGTTGCTGAACCTCAGGTAGACTTGGAAAGAGAAGGAAAATATAATTTTAATTTTCTCTTAATATGTTGGACTTTATGATGTAAAATAAAGCTTTGTGTAAGATTTTTATGGTTTTTAAATTTTGACTTGGTCATTTCTGCATATCAGATAGAGAGCTGGCCATTAAGTAAGAAAGGCCTTGGTTCAAGTCCTGCCATTGATACATACTATGTGATCCTGGGCAAGTCACTTAACCTCCTAGTTCATTAGGCAACTCTTGAAGACTCTAAGTTTCAGAGTTGCACCTTGTTGCATCTTTCCTTGGTAGAGAGAGCTTCCTTACTGGGAACTCCCTCCAGTAATGAAATCACAAATCTGGTCTAAAAATAATTTTGGTTATATGATTTATGGGGGGTGGGAGAGGTAGGAAATGAGGAAAAGAATAAGCATTTATTTAGAGCCTGTTATGTACCAGGCCCTGAAGCTAAGCACTTTACAAATATTATCCCACTTGATCCTCTGTGACATAGATGCTATTACTATCCCCATTTTACAGTTGAGGAAACTGAGGCAAACAGAGGTTAAATAACTTGCCCAAGATCACACAGCTAATAAGTGTCTGAGGTCAAATTTGAACTCAGGTCTTCCTGACTCCAGACCTACAGCTCTATCCACTGAGTCACCTCCTCAATGCCTCCAGCTCAAAACAATTTTAAACTCAACACTCTCCCCCTCCCCCCACAAATCTCCACTCAAATAATAAGGCTAACTTTGCTCACCATATATTCTTAAAATTCCTATATATCCTTAAATCCTTTTTCTTCAAAATTATGTTTAGCTTGGTTTGGTGGCTGATTTTGTGATGAAGTACTATTTCCATTAATTTTCAGTATATCATATTCCAGCTCATTCTATTATTGCTTATCTTGAGCAAGTAAATCTTGAATAATTTGAAAGGATATTTTGTGACATAATATTCCTCCTGTCTGCATGAAAAAATCCTTTCCTTCTCATTGTCACTGTGAAGTTTGATTATAATGTGCCTGAGTGAGTTGAATCTGTGGACCATCCTTACGGGTAGTCTGTTAATTCTGTCAACATGAAAATGACCCATTTCCCCAATATTTCTGCAAATATTTATTTAGTTTTCTGAAATATATTGTCAGATTATTTATTTCTTCACTTTTAGGGGGTAATCCTGATAACTTTCCAAACTCTGTCCTACTGGTCTGTCACCTTTGTTTGTGAAGTTTCTAAGCATTTTTCCATTTGGATATATATTTATATATATATATATATATATATATTTTGGTGCTGTTTCCTCCCTCTCCTCCCCACTTTTTAAATCATTCTTTCCCCAAGTATTTGTCCCAGTGAATCCATTTTTTTCTTTCATATTCTCCATCGATATTTCCAAGCTGTTGAAATTCATCATCATCTTGTCTTGATTTTTATTTCATCTTGTGTTAATTTTACTATTTTCATTTCTTTATTTCCTTCTATGTTTTTATTTTCCACATTAATATGACTTGCAATCATTCCAGCTTTGTTTCTGGAGTGTTAATTCATTATTTTTTCCTTCTGGCATTTTGGTTTCAGTTTTTTTTAATCCATGATATTTATTTCTCATGTGGGAACTTTTCTTTTGTTTGCTCATTTCTTTGATTATCCCTTTTATGAAAGCCAATTTTATTTTGGGGGTTTTGTGAGTCCTACTCTTTTTCCTTTGCATTTCAATTGTTGTTTTGAAAGGATATTAAGGAAGTAGATTCTCTTGTGACCAGTGACTCCTCTGTCTTCCCAGAAATTTCCTTCCATTTCTTTTATAGTCTCAGGTTTGTTAGCATGTAGCTGTATGTAATAGTATCTCTTTATTTTCTTTATTTCTCTTACAATTGTGATTTTACCTCCTTTCTCACTTCTCTTCTTTGAGTTAAATTTCTACAGGAAAGGCAACAGAGTGCTTGTTATGTAAGGCACATATCTACCCTCCAGGCTCTCACAGGAACTATTGTCCATCCTTTACCCCTTCAGGGGCTGTGACTGGGAGAATTTTAGCTGCTGAGAAAATGTCTGCAGTTGAAGGCACCTCAGCTACTTTGCAGTGCAACCTCTTATATACTACAGCTAAGGTCACACAGGTCATTTGGAAGAGGTATGACCAACTTCTTGCTATTCGTGATGCTGTTTATGGATCTTGGATCAACCCAGTCTTCAGAAAGAAGGTAAACTTGGCCCTAGGCTATCGCATCACTCTCCTGTCCTTAACTGCCAATGACACTGGCGAGTACCATTGTGACTTTCACACCTTTCCTGATGGGATTTACAAAGGAAACATTTTCCTGGAAGTCACAGAACTAAGTCTTCCAGGAGATTCAGGTAAGGCATTGAACTATCCTTATAGTAATTAAAATGCAAGACATCCCAACAATCCTTATTCCATGCAGATTAAAGCATCCTCTCCACTTTCCTTTCCCCATCCCTCACCAAAGGACACTCTAAAGCAAAAGGAATGAATACATCTTACAGCTGAGAGGACTAGAAAGAAACCTGGTGACCATCAAGTCCAATCCCTTTATTTTACAAGCGAGAAAACCATGACCAAGAGAGATGAAGTGATTTCTGAGGGGTGCACAACTGATGTGTGATAAGGGATGGGGAGGGAGGGAAAGGAATAAGTATTTGTATAGTACCTACCATGTGCTAGGCACAGTGATAAGCACTTGTACAAATAATATCACATTTGACAAAGCCAAAAGTTGAACATACATCTCCAAAATCCCAGTTGAGTGCTTTCTATGGTAGTTTAAGGTTTATAAAAACTCACAAACATATGTTATCCTTTTACATATTTTTTTATATTAAACATTTATTAATTTATTTATTTTAGTCTTCAACATTCACTTCCACAAGATTTTGAGGTCCAAATTTTCTCCTCATCTCACTCCTCCCACCCAAAGATGGTATGCATTCTGAATACCCCATCCCCTAATCTGCACTCTCTTCTATCACCACCCTGCTTCTCTTATCCCCTTCCTCTTCTATTTTCCTATAGGGCAAGATATATTTCTATAACCCATTGCCTGTATATCTTATTTCCCAGTTGCAAAACATATGTTATCTTGAGAGATATGGTAGGTGCAGGTTAGGTATAGCATATTACTAGTGATGATATGCTTAGGAAATGCTCACGTCATCAAGTACATGCACAACCAGCAAAGGTAGTGGAATTGGTTGTGTGTCATAAATGAGAGACAATGGATGGATAGCCAGAGTGCTCCATGGATTCCTTCAAGAATCAGACTTAGGCCTCCACTGTGTTTAGTGTCTCTCCTCTGGAGGATTTATAGAAAGACATGGATGAGAGTCAGTCAGGATGGAAGACATGGTAGAGTAGCTATCCACAGGAGTGTAGGAACTAGTTACACCAATGGGATCACATATCTAATGATACATAATTTAGTCACATATCTAAAAAGCAAATTAAATTTATAGATGTCTAATGCATGTCTAAAAGAAATCAGGCTGATTTGACCTATCCCAAAGTCCTGTGGTGACAGGCACGTGACGAAACAGCAGGTGCAGATACACTGGGAGTTGTAGTCACAACCCTGCACATAGGCAGCCCAGGCCATTCAGCAGCCCCCTGGGTGTCTGAGCAGCCTTTTAAAGATTGCACTGCTCACCTCCTGTTGTGAGGAAGGGGCTAGAAAAGGTGCCCTAAAAATTGTCCACTTATCCAACCCTGGCCTGATTACCACAACAGACAGGGATCATACTCTATGGTTGAAACACAAAAAATGTACAAAAGCACCTGCAAAGACAATTCCGCTTACCATTGGCACATGGAATATGTGCACATTTATAGACAACACAAAATCCAGTAGATCTGAAAGATGAACAGCTCTTGTTGCAAGAGAACTCAGCAGGTTTCGCATCCAAATAGCAGCCCTGAGTGAAACAAGGCTGGTAAATGAAGGTCAGCTTACTGAAGTTGGAGCTGGATACATGTTTTTCTGGAGTGAAGGGGAGCACTGTGAAGCTGGTCTAGGTTTTGCAATCATAACTAATCTAGTCAACAAGCTTGTAAGCCTACCAAAAGGAGTGAACAAAAGGATCATGACAATATGATTGCCACATACAGGAAAACATCACGCCACCATCATCAGTCCCTATGTTCCCACCATGACAAACCCTAATGAAGTCAAAGAAAATTTTATGAAGACCTGGAGACCTTTATTATCAATGTGCCAAAAGAGGACAAGCTTATAATTCTGAGTGACTTTAATGCTAGAGTAGGCTCAGACTACCAGACTTGGCAGGGAGTCCTAGGGAGGAATGGAGTTGCTAACTTGGAGGGTAGGTTGAGCCAACACACAGTTGGCAACAGTGAAGCAGAAAAGGAGTGGGCAGCTTTCAGAGATTTGGTGTATAGCAATGCATTTACTCATCCGGGTCAGAACATTCACAAACATCAAGACTGGTTTGACGAAAATGACGGGGAAATTCAGAAGCTGCTAAATGAAAAATGAGAACTCCATAGGGTTTACCAGCAGGATAGTTCATCCATCTCTAAAAAGGCAGTATTTAATTCCATCAAAAATAAAGTAGAAGCTAAGCTTAGAGGGATGCAGTTTTCTTGGTCAGTAATGAAATTAAGTTTTATGCTTATAGTTAACAGTCCAAAGCACTTTTATGATGACCTGAAGGCTATTTGTGGGCCAAAGACCTATGGTACCTCTCAACTACTCAGTGCCGATGAAGCCACATTGATTAGTGATAAGGACATGATCCTAGAGAGATGGACTGAACACTCCCATAATGTTCTCAACAGATGATCATCAATCAATGCTGAGGTCATTGACTGTTTACCTCAGGTTGAAGTCAATCCCCCCTAAGCTGAAGTTCCAACTGAAGAAGAGGTTTTGAATGTCTTTAGGCTCCTTTTGTGAAGCAAAGCACTTGGTGCTGATTCTATTTCAGCTGAGATTTACAAGGTAGGTGGTCCATTGCTCATACAAAAGCTGGTGGAAATTTTCTAGGTTATATGGCAAGAGGAGGTTATCACCCAGGAGTTCAAGAATGCCTCCATTGTCCACCTCTTTAAAGGTAAAGGAAATAGATATCTCCTATGAGAGTCATGCAGCATCTCTCTCTTAGTCATTGCTGGCAAGATTCTTGCCAGAGTGCTCCTTAATAGGCTGATCCTTCACCTAGAAGATGGTCATCTACCTGAGAACCAGTGTGGCTTTAGAAAGGGCTGAGGAATGGTCGATATGGTGTTATGCTGCCCGACAACTCCAGGAGAAATGCCAGGAGCAGAACAGAGGTCTGTATACAACGTTTGTAGACCTGACCAAAGCCTTTGATACTGCCAGTCATGAGGGCTTATGGAAAATTATGTTAAAATTTTGTTGCCTGAAGAAGTTCATCAGCATTTTACATCAATTTCATGACGGCATGCTTGCTCAGGTTCTGGATAATGGAAAATGCTCTAGGGCTTTCCCAGTCACCAATGGAGTGAAACAAGGCTGTGTGCTTGCTCCCATGCTTTTTAAATGGAGTTTAAAAAAAAACAGATCTGTAATCCTCTTTAAGGAGTGGTAGAAGGCTCAGTTCCTGCCTGGAGGGATCCGCAAACCCAGGAAACATAAATAATTCAAGCGTGAAAAAACTGGGACTGCAAAGAGATTCAGATCTCCAGGGGACAATTCCCCCTCCTCCCACCCCTCTTCCTCTAAGTCTTTCTCAGAGATAAGTTAGCACTGGAAGCTCTAATTGAAAAGCCACGGAGCCCACTGAGTAGAGACTGTATCCGGCTGGCAGTTTGGGTGGAGGTGGGGGAGATGGGAGAGTAGTGACCGAGCCCTGATGTTTTCAGCCATGTTGTTAAATGCTTTCAGTGAGGATGAACATGGTGTTAAGGTCAGCTACCACACTGATGGTAAATTCTTCAACTTTAAAAAGGCTACAAGCCAAGACCAAAGTGCAGGGAGTATTGGTTCATGATTTTCTGTTTACAGATGATTGTGCACTCAATGCACACTCTGAAGCTGAGATGCAACAAAGTATGGATCCATTCTCTACTTCTTGTGCTAATTTTGGCCTAACAATTAACACCAAGAAAACAGAGGTGCTCCATCAGCCACCACCACACCATCCATACGTGGAACCATTGGTTACAGCAAATGGAGAAGTTTTGAATGCTGTGGATAAGTTTACTTACCTTGGTAGTGTACCTTCCAGGGATGTATACATTGATGATGAGATTGATGCATGCATTGCCAGAGCTAGCTCAGTGTCTGGGAGGCTCTGAAGGAAAGTGTGGGAGAGAAGAGGTGATAAACTGACTACCAAATTGAAGGTCTACAGAGCCATTGTGCTGACCTCATTATTGTATGTCCATGAAACCTGGACAGTATACCAGCACCATCCTAGTAAACCAAATCACTTCCATTTAAATTGTCTCAGGAAGATTCTGAAGATCACGTGGCAGGATGAGATACCAGACACTGATGTCCCTTCTTGAACTAAACTGCCAAGCATTCAAACTCTACTTCAGAGGGCACAACTCCAATGAGCTGCCACATTGTTCAAATGCAAAATGTACACTTGCCAAAAAAGACGATTTTATGGACAACTCACATAGGGCAAGCATTCACATGGTGGTTAGAAGAAGCGATACAAGGATACTCTCAAGGTCTCTATTAAGAACTTTGGAATTGATTGTGTGATATGGGAGACACTGGCACAGGACTGCTCAGCATGGCGTGTCCACATCAGAGAAAGTGCTGTGCTCTAAGAGCAAAGCAGAATTGAAATAGCTCAAAAGAAATGTAAGATGCATACATTTAGAGAATCCACCCAAAATGTTCATATGGACTATTTGTGCCCAACCTAGGGTAGAACATTCCAAGCTCATATGGGTCTGATCAGCCACAGTCAGAGACACTGAAACTTGACTTTAGCATAGTGATGTCATTTTGGTCCTCTTTGAGAACAAAGGACAACAATCAATCAACATAAACCAAAGATGAACTTTGGGGGCCCCCTCTGAGAGTTTAAATACCCTTGAAAGAGTGGATGTTCCTCACAAGCAAAAATCAACTCTGATTCATTAGCAATTAATGAGAGAATGAATATTTTAATGAGAGTTGGGCTTATTCTAATGAGGGGCTGGGCCGGGACTTTGATTATGTCACTCTTATTCATCTCTATCCAGACCACCCCACCTCAAGAAATCTAGATAAAGGGATCTACCTCCATCCAAGCTACTTACTTCCCAATTGGGTGGGGTCTCACCCAAGGTAGAGGAGAATGTTAACTCATTATTAGCCCTGTCCTTCAGAGGCTGCTTTGACCTAGTAGGGAATGAGGAA